AACCCAGACTTTGGGAGGCCACGGAAAAGTGAGCTAGGTAATGTAATATCTAGGCTAATATTTGAAGACAAAGGTTTTAGCCAGGCAATCAGACAAATGAATCAAATCTGTAACACACTATGTGGACCCCCAGAACTGCCAGGCTTATTCCGCCCCCACCCCCCGCCCAAGAAGTTGCACCCCAGTGTGGCATTTAAAAAAGACTCCGCCATTAGGAGAGCTGAGGGTTTTGTGCCACCCTCTACCTCACTCTCACACAGTACACTACCAAGTCATGGACTGTTAACTCAAAAGTTTTTTCTAATTGTTTACAAACGTTCTTAGAAGAGCTAGAACACCCATTTTTATCTGGCAAATTCCAACTTGACTGAATTGAAGTAAAACTGGTAATTTATTTTCTGCTTTCTGGGTTACTGCCATTTTACCAGATGCACGATAGTGAGACTCCAGAAGCTGGTGCTCACCCAGCCATCCAGTCTCTTCTCTAGGGCTTCTTGCATTAAGTCTACAGTCTCACAAAAGGAAGTGTCACATGACAGGCTGGTTAAGCCAATGGAAACTGTTTTGACCACATTCTTTCTTAAAGTTTTAGTCTCTCTAAGGTTTCATATTCAAAGACTTAATTTTAAATGAAGGGAGGTCCATACATAAAACATGAATATTTGAGACATTTATATTAAGGTTGGGAAGAATTAATCTGAATAATATGTGCATAAATACACCATTACACAGACAGGAAAATATGATCCAAGAAAAAAGGACTTAAATCGAGAAATTTCACAGGGAGTTAATCTCACCATTTTTTAAATTATCTGACTCGAAATTGATTCTTTATCATACTTTCAAGAGTTTTATTTCACCCTCTGCAGTTAAGAACTTGTGGTTTGTCAGTGTACGGGGGTTCCATTTTCTTCACATCCTTGACAACATTTGTTATTTGTGTTCTTTTGATGATGGCCATTCTGGCAGGTGTGAGATGGTGTCTCATTGTGGTTTTGATTTGCATTTCCCCTGACATTAGTGATGTTGAGCAGCTCTTCATGTTCCTGTTGGCCATCTGCATTTTCTCTTTTGGAAAGATGTCTGTTTAGTTCTTCTGCCCATATTTTAAATGGGTTGTTTGTTTGCTTTTTAATTGAAGTACAGTTGATTTAAAATGTTGTATTCGTTTCTGGTGTACAGCATGGATGGACTTGGGGAGGGCACTGTTCTGAGTGAAATAAGTCGGACAGTGAAAGACAATACTATGGGATTATCGCTTGCATGTGGAATCTTAAAAAAAAAATACAACAGACTAGTAAATGTAGCAGAAGGGGAGATGGACTCGCAGATGTGGGGAGGGAGGTGGGGGGGTGCAGGGTGGAGGTGGAGGATTGTGGGGTACGAACTATCAGGTGTAAAGCGGGCTGCAGGGGTGTGCAGCACGGGGACTATAGCCAGTGTTTTGTAATAGCTGTAAGTAGAGTGCAACCTTTGAAGTTGTGAATCACTGTACTGTGTACCTGTAGCATATGGTATTGTATATCAACTATACTTCAATTTTAAAAACATGATATTGTAAAAATAAATACATAAAGTTAAAAAAATTTTTTGTATTCAATTCCAGGAAGTTCAGAGTCTCCCAGAAGCCCTCCTATAAACGTTCAGAGTCTCCCAGAAGCCCTCCTATAAACTCTCTGGATTCTTTATGCCTTCAAAATACAGGGTTTGTCACAGGGAGAGCAATCAGGAGCCAGGAAGGCATGGCAGGAGCACAGCATGGAAGTCTTAGGGATGGGAGTGCCTTTTGGTAAGAGCAGGCTTTCCCAAAACTGTCCGACAGAACATGAAAAATCTTAAAAAACAGAATGTATTAAGTGTAGTTGCTGTATAATATAATATGTGCTGGTGTACAGAGTGGTGAATCACAATTTTTAAGGGTTATACTCCATTTATAGTTGTTATAAAGTGTTGCTGTAACCCCTGTGTTGTGCAGTAAATCCCTGTAGCTTGTTTTGTGCCAACAGTTTGTACCACTTACTCCCCTACCCTTCTACTGCCCCTTCCCTCTTCCCTCTCCCCACTGGTGACCCCCGGTTTGTTCTCTGTATCTGTGGGTCTGCATATTTTTTGTGATGTTCACTAGTTGGTTAGACTTTTTAGATTCCACACGTGGGTGATGTCATGCAGTATTTGTCTTTGTCTGACTTAATTCACTTAGCATGGTTCCCTCAAGTCCATCCATCTTGCTGCAGCATTCTTAAATATAAATGAAAAACTGAACATATTTGTATAGTTTTTTATATCATGTGGCAATGTGCCTTAAAGAAACAGTGTATCATACCTGATATATTGCACACCAGATACCATGACATATAGATGCGTGGTATTAAAATGTACCTTATTGGCAACATTTACTGAAAAACAAACCAAAAAAAACCTTGTGATTTGTTTTGGAATATGGAGACAAACAAAATACCTTGATCACACCTTTGTTTCCTTGAAAGAATCATGATTTTATTGTTTTTATAAAAACAACATAGGTTGTCTTTTAAAAAGTGACACTAGAAAGATAAGAGGAAATAAAAATCATTCAGAAATTATCACTCAGAAACCACTATTAGTAATATTTGCTAGACACCATTCTGGACATCTGTGTATTTCTGTAGTAAGAGAATGAAGGGAATCAAAAGGATATAAAATAAAATGTGTCATATTATATGTTATCTATAAAAGTATGAGATTTACTTTTACTTGAATTTAATGGAATAAAACTGAAGTGAAACGGAAGTAATGAACTTGGTAAGTATTTTCTCAAAAAAAATTAGTTATCAGAAGAGTCTTCTAAAGTCAAGAAAAAATTAGGAAAAAACTTTGAAATTATGATGATTTTAAATATTTTTAAACTTTGTATGTCTCATGCCCTGTTGCTATGAAAAGTGAAATTAGCACTTTGAAGTCTTCTCTCCTTTTCTATCCTCCTTTGCCCACCCTGTTAAGTATAAACCTTAACTTTTACCTTCTTGTACCCACACCACCCCAGTTGCTTAATCTGGTTAATTCTATAGCTTTATCACAGCGTCTTACTCTTCTTTGTTTTCATTTGCTAGTGGGTGGATGAATTTTATTGCCAGCTCATGTCTTGAGTTCCGGCACACTGAGCATGTTGGCTTCAGACAGTTAAGGGGAAATTCACATTTAGAACCATGTGGGGACTGTGATGTGGTTCCCTCGGTATTTGACTTAGGATTTGGATGGGCCTCAGGTTTTTTTCTGGTACATCCCTCTAACAGAACCATTCTTCAGTCTCCAGCCAGCATTTAGAGATCTCGCTTCCTCCTCCCTTCCCTTGACCTTTTTCTCTTCCCCAACCCCTTGCCAGAAGAGTTCCTTCAATCACGCTGTCCACATTTAAAGCCACCTTTCACAGTGTAAGAGTCACAGCCTCCCACTTACACTGGTTTCAAGGGGAGCCGGTAAGTAGCTTCCAAATGTGTTTGAGCTTCCAAAACACTGAGCTGGAAACCCAGCATGTGACTTACTTATTTTGATTATTAGTTTATAAGGACCTTTTTCAAGTGATAATTTTGAGTGTAAAAACAAAAATCAGTGGTGGAAGGTAGACGTGAGTAGGAAAAACTGAACTCAGAACTGAACTCAGTTCTACTCTGAATTTTATGGGGACCTGTAAATATGTGTAATTTATGTAAATACGTAATTCATCTATTTAAAATTTTCTCAGTTGGATTTTCAGTTAGTCTGTGTTCATTAGGATAACAAATTCATACAATGTGATCTTGCTTGCTGAGGAGAGGCATAAAGCATGGAACTGCTCATCTTCTGTCACAACAATGAGCTCCTACAGTGGACTCATAACTGAACGTGCTCTTCCTGCCCACTGCCTGCATTTAATGCGTCAGCAGCCCCATCCAGATTTAATCACCCGCTGCCCCAATTTCCCATTTACTAACCCCTCAGCAGCATCTGATCATATGTAGGAGGTAAATATTCCTTATTTAGAGTCTTTGAACTCAGGATTATGCTGGAAAATTAATAGAGCCTAATCAAAAATTTCCAGAAGGCTAAAATGTGAATTCCTTTAAAAAAATAAATAAGAAAAATAATAAATCTCTCCCTTGGGGATTATAAAGCAAGATCTTTCACAGGCTTTCAGTTTCCCAGCCACTATTGGTACATAAGGTAATTTTAGGTGAATGTGACCATGTTTGTTTTCAGTCAGGCTTTTATTTTATTGTACAATTAGAAACATATGTAGCAAAAGGGTAATTATACAAAGTTTTTCATTTTTAATGTAAGTAAGAAGTAAGCCACTTTAAAGAAAATACAAACTAAATGATACTGTAGATAATATGCAGATATGGCAAAAATGGTGAGGGTGATGTGCAAATGAAATGTGAGAATGCAGAAATCAAAAATACAGAGATACGGTCAAAATTGCACAAATGTGCAAGAGGGGAATTTGGAAATAGAACTTGGAAATAGGGGAATATGGAAGTCAGAAACCTATTTAAATTGCCTGTTACACACTTGGAGTCTCCTCTATTAAAAGCTGCATGTCTACTGCAGGGGCCTTCCGTCTCTCATACCCCGGGTCATGCACGGTGGGTTCTCACCGAGGTGCACGACTCCCCTGCCTAATTTCTAGCTCCCCACCCTCTCTCCACAGCACCAGGAGGTACTTGGAAGACAAGCAAATAGGAAATATAATAATAAGAATAACATTAACTCCACTCTAATTCTTTTTTTAAAGTAAGTTATTTACAGATGGGTACTTTGTTCAAAAATTAACTTCAAAAAACAAACAAACCCTTTTACAAATATTTTGCAGCACACTGGTGATTGACCGCCACGGGTCGGCGTATCAGGATATTAAGAAATGGTGGTCTGACAACTGGTTTTGGTCTCAGATGTCATGTGCAGAGTTTCTTGTTGGGAAGTTTGTGCTCTGGGAACTGTTTTCCTTGGACCTGACAATATCCTTTTCTCTTTAATACTCACAGTCGGTAGGGCGGGAACTGCTGCTCCATTTAATTGAGTATCTCGTAACCAGTGATGGAAAAGACCCTGAAATCACAAATCTAATCAACAGTACGAGGATACACATCATGCCTTCAATGAACCCAGATGGATTCGAAGCTGTCCAAAAGCCTGACTGTTTTTACAATAAGGGAAGGTAAGGATGAGCTAGTCTATCTCTATTTAAAAAAAAAAAAAAAACACAAAAAAGCCCCCATCAGATAGGACACCATCAAAGAGTTCCTGAAACATCTCATAGCCTGTGTCAGGTCATTACTGGGCTGAAAAGTCTTCGGGGTGCCCTGCTACTTTGACAGCCAGAAGTAAAATCCTGAATAAGGCTGCTTAATTTCTGTGCCCGTCTTACTGAGTCCAGCTTCACTGCCTCTCCCCCATCTCACCTGCTGCAGCCGCTCAGACCCTCCTTCACCTCCTGCAACCACCCGATTCCTTCTCACCTCAGGCATTTCCCACTCATCCCCCCTACTGCTTACACAGCATTTCCTCAAAGCTTCCTGTCATACATGAGGTCCCCAGTTATACTCATATCATCTGGAACTTTACCTTCACAGCACAACTTTAAATGCCTCATTTCTTGTTTATGTCCAGCTGTAAGCCACCTGAGGGCAGGGTCCCTGCTCCTCCCTGTTAAATCCCAGGGCCTAGCGTGGACCCTTGCCCCTCAGTAAGTATCCAGTGATTTATTACGCCAGCCCAAGAACTACCCACAAAGAGTGAATTTTATAGTATTTCTGACTTAAAATTTATTGTGTTTCAAGCTGCCTCAAGAAGTTTAGAATTTCTCAAATGTCTGAGTTACATTTATATTTGTGCACTTAAAAGTTTGTGTTTACCAAAAAGAATCACCACTTGATTCCCTTCCACTTCCAAGTTTTTTTAGCATATTTAAACATGGCCAGTCCACATTTCAGAAATACATTTGTATAAAACAGCATGTTCCTGTTTCTGTTATCAATCGCCATGGACCAAACCGCCCCAAAACTGAGGGACCTAAAACAACCACCTTTTTAATTTGGGCAGGGCAGAGCAGGGATGGCTAATCACTGTGCGTGATGTCTGGGGCTTCAGCTGGGGTCTGGCTGGGATGGTATGTCTGGAGTCTTAGTCTTGGCTGTCACCTGGGTCCCTCACTTCCCCCTGTGAACCCTCCATGTGGCTAGCATCAGGGTCTCAAGGTTCCACGTGGGAGTGTTCCAAGAGGAAAAGCCCCAAATGCAAACACTTTTCAAACCTCTGCTTCTATCCCAGTCACGGCTGTCCCCTTTGCAAGAACAAGTCACACACAGAAGGGGCCAACATATGGTGAATGCCAGGTGTGGTTCCTTGGAAGCTGCCAAGGCAACCATCCACCACTCTGTATTCATATTTTTCCAAATATGATAGCAAATAAATACCTGGAGCCCAAACCAAAGGTCTACACACTACATGAATCTGTTCCTTCACACACCTAAAACCTAAATTTTTTCTTTTAAAGGCATAATAGTAACTACTATGACCTGAATAGAAATTTCCCCGATGCTTTCGAATTTAATAATGTATCAAGGCAGCCTGAAACTGTGGCAGTCATGAAGTGGCTGAATACAGAGACGTTTGTCCTCTCTGCAAACCTCCACGGTGGTGCCCTGGTGGCCAGTTACCCGTTTGATAACGGTGTTCCAGGTAAGTGAACGTGGGCCCAGCTCTGGCCTTCTAAGTCCAGAGTGAAGCTGCAAACTCTCTGCCTCTGAAGGGGGATAAACTCTTCCTCTCCCCACTTAACTTCTCTGGGAGGGGTAGAAGCAGCCCCTTCCCTCGACCCTGAGCTGTCCTTCCTACAGTTTATAAATGGTGGATGGCAAGGTGGCTAAACTGACAACCAGCAGTGGAATTACTTGACATTCATCAGTGAAATAGTACAACTGGGATTTAGATTATCCCACAAGAGGCAACATGGCTAAAAGAAAATAAAGTGAATCATGTGAGTAATAATTGCTGATTCCTCTTAAAGCTGTGGGTTGAGGTACATACCAAGGACTTAAAATATTTGAGCGGCTCCCTTTAACCCCTCCAGTACCTAAGGAAAGTTTACTGACCTCCAGAAATCAGCAGAAGTAACTAAAAGGGTATTTAACTTTTAAGCTGACTGAGGCGGCGTTTGGACATGAATATGGTTTTGTGTGCTATCACCTTGTCTATGTCCATTAAACACTAGGAAGGAGAGTAGAGGGAGCATTCGTGGAAGTGGGTAGAGGACTTCTCTCTAGGAACTTGGAGCCTGTGCGTGGGACGTGGTGATGTACTTGCTAATACGGTGTGTGCTTCCTCTGACTCTCACATCATCAACTAAAAGGTCTTGGTTTATCTTTCGTGTATAGCGACTGGGACATTATACTCCCGGAGCTTAACCCCTGATGACGATGTTTTTCAATATCTTGCACATACCTACGCTTCAAGAAATCCCACCATGAAGGAAAGAAATCCGTGTAAAGCCAAATTAGAGTCTCAGAGTGGAATTATAAATGGATACTTCTGGTATCCACTCAGAGGTGAGTTTCTCCGTTCTACTGTTCTCCTTGTAACTTCACCCAGCTGGCTTTTGTTGACCCTGCAATAGGCAGAAGTTGGCCAGGCACAGGACAGTCCTCTCACTCGTGTCTCTGTCAGCTAATATCACAGAATAGTGGGGGTACGGATCGTTGGAGAGGTGCTCCAACATGTTCCCACTGCCAAGGCCTCCTTAGTTTGGACGCTTGTTCAGCATTTACCTGGGAGCCAGGAACTGTGTCAAGAAAGATGAGCAGGACACAGATCTTAAGTCCTAGTTTAATAGGGAGGAGCAATATGCAAATAAACCATTGTGATGGCAATGTAATTAGAATGAAAATAGAGGTTTAGAAAAGGCACAGTGTACCACACAGCTGTGAAGCCAAAACACAGTAAGGAGTAGCGAAGACTATGGAGTACGATGCTTCTGTCTGATCTACTGGGATCCAGTTCACTGTGGCCATGCCACAGTGGGGGCCCCCAGTTGCCAGGCCTTCCAGTTTGTGAAGTAAGCCGAATGTGTACATGAAGTCTCCTGATTTTAAAGCTACTCTGCAGACTAAACAAAAAAGCCCTCTAATTTTCCCTCCTTGGAACAGGATAGCCAGGGGAGGGAGGAACTTGCCATGTAGGGAACGTGGGAGGGGGGATGGTGTTGTCAGAAGGAATAATATAAGCAGAAGCCCAGGGTGTCAGAGTCCTAGTCTGGAAATTGTGAGAGATGGGGAGGGACCTAGCACAGAAGGGCGAGAGGGCCGACAGTGGGCTGGAACCGGGTTTCCACTGCCTCAGTGAAAAGGGCCCCGCTTCCAGACTGGTTAGGCTGATCCTACCAAGAGCAAGCTGCAGCCTGCATCTGCACACAGGCCACTTCCCTACTTGTCACTTTGGATGCACAGGCTATCAAGCAGTCTTGCACAAGCTGATACCTTTGTGTCTGGGCAGGCGTCTGCCAGCTTTCCAGGTAATATAAATAAGCACAGACCACAACCGATAGGCACCAGGGCCAGCCAGATACCACAACATCCCAAACATTTCTCTGATGTACAAGATACAGCCTCCGGACTCCCACCTTCGGGCTGCAGCCTAGTCCCCACTCACTGCTCTCCACAGGGAGGAAAGGGCCCCTTCTGCCCCGCAGCACAGCTGTCCTTCCTGTGCACTGTCTAACTTTCACGACACATCCAGATGTGTGGGAGATTAACTAGGAACCTAACTTGGAATTGTCCCCTGCCTGTGCCTGTGTAAGCTGTGTATCTTTCTGAGAAAAAAAGGCAGGCAGAGCCAGCTTAGGACAAAGTATTCTGGCTCAGCCTGGAGGTTTTGTTGGCCAGGCCCCCGGCCTTACCCAGGGCTGCACGCTCTCCACACTTTGCATTCCCCATCCTGTGTGCTTTGCACACCTGTTTTGCCATTTAACTTCTTTCTACCTGAGACACAGCCATCCAGCCAAGGGCTTTCGTTTTATTTTGTTTCTCTCTTCTACTTCTTGGTGAAACCGAGGTCCAAGAAAAATACAAAATTTCTAAGTAAAGGAAAATAAAGGACAGAGAAATTCTTCCTGGTTGGATGTTACTCTATATTTACATAATATTTTTACCATTTTCTGAGCATAAAAATCTTTTTACTTCTTTACTTCCCAAATACCCTGATGGAATTGAGAATACATATTGTATTGGGAAGATATCAAGTGCAGCTAATTAAAATCTGGCAGAGACTACTTCCTTCAAAGTTACTAGATTTCATCAAATTCAAAATGCCACTGATTGTAAAGTACAAGTCTCAGCAAGCAAGAAAGAAATTACCAGCCTAATAACACCAGGATGTTTTTCATTCATCCACTTTAAGATACACCTGAAGTCAGAGCTTTTAAACTATGAAAAGTTTTGCATCTTAGGAAATAAGATTATAACCCTTTGACAATAGGGTGTCAAGAGGTAAGAACTGGGACGCAAGCATGGGCAGGGGTAGCCCTAGGAGCAGCAGAGGCCTGGGTCTCCCCTCCCAACGGTCAGCAGTGCCCCCTCCTCTTACCCTCGACACAGTGCAGAGCAGTGGGTGCGAGCCCCAGGGCTGGAGGAAGATGGCCCGCGCGTCGGTCTCTGCCATTCACTGGCAAGAATCCTGGGCGTGTTACCTACTGTTTCTGATTAAGTTTCCTCCTCTGTAAAATATGGGTGATAATCGTCATGAGGATTAAATGAGTTGATAACAAAGCTGCTCAAACAGCACTAAGCAAGAGCGAACTCTCAGTAAACATTAGCTGTTATTATTCCTCCAAATTAGTATACTGAGCTTTATAGAATAAGTGTGTTTACGAATGACATCTCACTCTAGTTTGTATCTGTTTAAGATTTAATTTAGGAAAGAAATGTAATTCAAAGAATCCTTTTTTTAATGTATGATTGTAGAAAAAAAGGGCCCTTCCCCTGCTTCTCACTTCATTTTGATGCAGACCTGAATGTCAGTTAGCTCTGATTCAGCTGCCTATATGGGAATAGCTAGGCTGCTTGGTCATGCCTGGATAGTAAAACGTCAAGCCCTAATTGTACACGCTAATATGTCAAATTCATCTTTTCCTGTTCACATGTACTTTCACTGCAACTGTCTGATTCACCTGTCCCCAAGGTACGTGATACTTGGCTTCACTCCAGTTTTAGACCTTAACAAAAATGAAATATGCTTGTGTTTAGGTGGAATGCAAGATTACAACTACATCTGGGCCCAGTGTTTTGAAATTACATTGGAGCTGTCATGCTGTAAATATCCTCGCACGGAGATGCTTCCAAGCTTCTGGAACAACAACAAGGACTCGTTGATTGAATATATAAAACAAGTGCACATAGGTTTGTAAGATTTTCTTACTAATTCCTGTTAATTCAAAATAGAGCATCTGGCAAAATCTTTGGGTTGAGAAAGTGCAAGCCCCTATTTGTTTTCTAGGTTCAGCCTCATTTTCAGTACCAGAACTAATGGTTCAGAATTCTCTCTGCAGCATGTGAGAAACACAGCACCCATCAGTTCATATAAGAGAAATCATGGTATGTGTTACTTTAATATGGGGGTGTTAAATCCAGGGTACTTCTGATTTGACGTATTGAACGACCTGGAAATCTGGCAAAAGATGAGGAAAACAGGCTGATACTGTTTCATCATCACCCGTTCAGGGAAAAAAAAATTTTGCTTGCCACTTGCCATACAATATCACAAACCCAGAGAACACTGAACATGCCATTTTGCATTTTTTTCTAGAACTGGGTGGTGACCTAGCACCGTCAGCTTCAATCCCTCCCTCAACTCTGCCAAAAGACCTGGCTCTAGGAGTCTCCACAGCCATTTTTTGATGGCTGTCTGGCCTTTATCACAGCTGGACAGACTAAATGTGACAAGAGTGGTCATTCTCAAACGTGTGCAGCAGACTTACCTGGAGGGTTTGTTAAAACAGATTGCCAGGGCCCATCCTCAGAGCTCTGTAAATTAAATAACATACAAATTATAGTATTACTATTTGTTATTAATTTGAAGGGCTTACAGGTCCATTTACAAGGTTTTATAAAGAATATTCCTCTATCCGCCTGTCCCTATAATTAGATGAGCACAGCTTCTTTGAGAGAAAAAAATGTATATATAAACACATCAACCCTGCCCCCTTGTGGTTTAAAACAAGCATTTTTTTTTCTAGTTTAGTAATGAAATCCTATGTCAAAACCCTGATACAGTGTGCTTACGTTACTTGACAGAGGTTCTCTCCACGTTGGTGCCCTAGTAGGAAGCCAAAGAATATCTCTGATTGTGGATAGTGGAAGCAAACATCTCTTTACCGCTATTGCTCTGGTTTAAGGAAATTACTGATGTTTTTGTCAAGCTGCATCACATTCACTGGTTCAGTTTCGTCACCTGCTAAGATGGTCTGTGAGATTTCCAGATGGGTCAGAGTCCCTGGCCTACCTTGTGTGGGAAGGAGAGGCCTCCTGCTCTAAGGGAAGGGCCTGGCCAAGAGGGCAGGAGCCTGGGTGAGGCCCAAGCCGTTCTGTCATCTGCCCTGTGTGAAACCTTGCAAGCATCTGCCCTGTCTCACCCCTGCTTGTTCTAAGGCTCTGATGGGGTCGTTTTTTTCAATTAAATCTCACTGCCAGCTAACCTCAGGCCCTTTGGTCCTGCGTAGTCATGCTTAGAGGGTCGACGAAGCTTGGGCTGGGATGAGGGTGAGGCAGACATGAAGGCGAGTCTGAATTCTAGGCACCTGTAACGTCCTGCTTGTCCCCTCTCCGGGAAGAAGCAAAGATGAGCAAGGTAGGCTGTTACCTGCTGCTGTTCTGTCCCCTGAACTCCTCAGAGCAGATCTGAACCCGGAGGTTTGGGGAGCGGCCCATGGCGCCCAGAAACAAGGCTCTGGTAGGTGCTGAGTTCTAGAAGCCTGTGAGACACAGGTGCACCTGTCATCAGGTCCAGGAAAAAAAAAAATTAGGGAAAAGTAAAAGGCAACTCGGGCTTTAGGAGTTTACTTAACGTTCGAGATAAAAGTTTTGTTGGTAAATGTCAGAACTTTTACATTTCATTTTAACCTTTTCTGAATGAAACTAATGTGTGCCTTATATTTTTCTGTCCTGGTAAATAATAGTAACTAAGTATAACTGGGATAGTTCAGGGTCCTTTTTTCATCATGGCCTCTCTCGTTTATGTCATTAAGGTAACATGACTTTTCACTGAAGTGAGCAAACTGGTCTGGGAAAATTGGATTTAAAAAGAGGAGTTTTTCATTAACTGTATTCCTGAAATTGAGGTGAGGGGTATGATGTAGTGTGGGCTCTGGACACTAGTGTATTTAGAGCCAGGCTGTGCTGTTTAGTTGGTTATGTGAGCTTGAGGAGGGTATTTAATAATCCAAAACCTTAGTTTCCTCATCAGTAAAATTGTGGTAACATTGCCTACCTCATAGAGTGGATGTGAAGATTCAATGAGAAAATTTACAGTGAGCACTTCGCATAGAGCCTGTAAATGTTTGCACCTGCCAGTAGAAATAAAACTCCCTCAATCTAGTCCACGCCTCCAGGCAACCCTGCGAGTATAATACTGTTTCCCATGCAGTGTGCCTGACCATGAGACAACTCTGTTGAGTCCCTTGCATAGATAGGTGTCTTACTGTAAATTAATACATTGGCATTTCTGAGCTTCGTTCAGGATTTTATGGAACCCACCTAAGCAGGCAGTGTGCAGTACAGCTTGGTGACTGAGTGAACAACTTGCAAATGATAGGAATAGATTTAGATTATCAACTGTGTTCTCCAGTTTTGGTAATATGTGCTATAAATGGAATAGTCAACGACAAACAAATTTAACTGATAAATCAGATTGGTAGCTTGATTGTGTTGTATATTATATCAGAAATAAGTTTACTGAATTCTGACTCAAGATGGTGACATAGGAGGATCCTGACCTCACCACCTCCCACAGACACACCAAATCTACAACTGCACATGGAAGAACAACTGTCTCTGAAAGAAACCAAAAAACTACCTGAGCAACTCCTACACATGGGATAAACAAGAAAAAACCCACATCCAAACGGCTGGGAGAGGCTGAGACAAAATCCTGCCATAAACCCCATCTCTGGCACAGCAACCCACAGTCAGGAACTTACAACTCCAAGCTTCTCCCTGAGAAGCGAATGAACCCCACACTTGGCACCCCAACTTTTAAGACCTGAATCAAGAGACAAGCCTGCAAAACATCTAGCTTTGAAAGCGAGAGCTCACATCAACAAGGCTATAGTGAACTGAGAAACGGTTCTTCCGGGACTCAGACTTACCCGGCTATGCCCAGGCCCAGTGCTGGGGCAGCTGACTGAAAAGTGCCCAGTCTTTCGGTGAAAGAGGCCGGTTTCCTTGTCTGAAAGCTTCGGCCTAAAGAGCAGTCAGCTAGTTTAACACGCTCTAGGGGCGGACTGAAAGACTTCCCAAAGATGGAGGCCAGTGGCTGCCATCTTTGCCCTGTCCCTCCGCCTCCCTCCAGGATGCTGGTGTCTCCTGGAAAAGGACTTTGTGCTCTGTTGATGGGAATATAAATTGGTGCAGCAATAGGGAAAATAGTATGGAGATTCTACAAAAAATAGAACTACTCTATGATCCAGTAATTCTACTTTGGATAAATATCCAGAAGGAAATGAAAACACTAACTTGCAAAGATATCTGCACCCCCATGTTCACTGCAGCATTCATGAAAGCAACCTAACTGGATAGATGAACAGATAAAGAAAATGTGATATATTTATATATTCTGCCATAAAAAAGGAAGTCTTGCCATTTATGACAATATGGACAGGCATTGAGGGCATTATGCTAAGTGAAATAAATCAGAAAGACTGATACCTTGTAATCTCACTTACCTGTGAAATCTTTAAAAAAACAAACTCATAGATTGGTAATTGCCAGAGGAAGGGGGTCGGGCAAAATAGGTGAAAGTGGTCAAAAAGCACAAACTTCCAATTATAAAATCAGTCAGTCCTGGGGATGTAACGTACAGCATGACAACTATAGTTAATACTGTGCTGTATAACTGAAATTTGCTAATAGTAAATCTTAAAAGTGATCACAAGAAAAAATTGTAACCACGTTAATTGGGCCTATTGCAGTGACTGTTTCACCATATATACGTATATTAAATCATGTTGTATACTTACAACTGTCATTTCAATTATATCTCAGTTTTTAAGTTTACCATCCATTCTCACTTTAACTCAAAACAGCAAAATATTGTGCATATTTTTAAGATTTTTTTCTGTAAATGTACATCTACCTCATTAAAATGATCTAATCCTCATACTACTTTTGACCATGTCAATTATATTTGCTCATGTACAACTAGATCATGTAAAAGTTAATTCCAAGAAAAACATTTTTCTAGAAAAATAAATTTTCATATAGTAAAAAAATTTTTTTCATATGCCATAAAATGTGGTATTAACATTTAATTCTTTTTGTCTTGTAGGTGTAAAGGGTCAAGTGTTTGATCACAATGGGACTCCATTACCCAATGTAATTGTAGAAGTCCAAGACAGAAAACATATCTGCCCCTATAGAACCAACAAATTCGGAGAGTATTACCTCCTTCTCTTGCCCGGGTCCTATGTAATAGAGGTGAGTATACAATGCTAGTTATTGTTATTAAAATATTATAAAACTCATAGTACTTACCTGGAAGGGATCTAAAACAAGTCCGGAAGGCCCCAAAGTAGATACATCAGGGCAGAAGAAAAGGCCGATGTCATGTTTGCATTTGGCAGGGAGTGGGTGAGGTGGCAGAAATAGGAACAAACCCCCCAAGTCATGTTTTTTTCCAACTGGCAATTATTTTTTTAATAGAAGCAAAATTCCATTTCTGGTGATACATTTTAGGATTAAAAATGGAACAAAACCTTATTAATAATAAGAATTAAAAAAACCAGTGTAGCCAAAGTACTTCCAAGTTTCATGGAATACTACTTTAACGCCCTTTGCATGAAACATAATTTTAACAATTAAACAGATTGTGACTGTCATTACAAATAAAATTTGATCCACAAAGTTTACCCCTATATTGAGCGATAGACATATTTTGCAGCCTTCCTCATAAGCAAATGATGGTGAGTTTTCCAATCAATGCAAGTAAAATTCCAGGTTTTAGTTCTATTTAGAAGCATGTTTGAGTCATTTCTTCCTCTAAGGAGGCATGGACTAGTTTGAGCCTAAATGCGTGTATGTGAATGAACTAAATGAATAAGTATATGATTTCTTTGGCCTCTTCCTCTTTGATGTGACTTTTTCTAAGAATGTCAAGATTCTTCTAGTTTGCTTAGTGGGTCTGATGCCAGCCCAGCCCTGGTAGTCATTCTATACAGAGCTACTCTGAGAGAAGGTTATCTATTCTGTAGTGAAAATTGGCTTAGCAGTTCATTATTTCATCTTTAGGAGTTAATAAAAGGCATGGTTTTCCATTTATAAAACTCTGTAGGATTAAAAAAAAAGAAAAGAAAAGAAACCTGCTCCACAGATTATCCCCAAAGTGCCCAGCACTTTGAGTGAGAGGCTCATCGATGGCTAACTCTTCTCTTGAGCACCTCTTCCTGCTGAGATGAATAGAGCTGGAAAGACCTCAACTTACTATGAATCTTTACCTTTAAAAAAAAAAAAAAACACCCTGTTTTCCTGTTATTTACTGTGGCATGTTGTATTCTGTGAAAAAAAGAGGATTTTCCTTGTAGTGAATCTAAATTATTTTTATGCAATCCCATAAATAAGCCACATCTTTACAAAATAAAGTTATAAATTGTTCATTTTCAGTTAGATTAACACAGCGTATGTTGGTTTTAGTTACTAGTTCTAGGGCAAGAGAGGAAGGTAAGACTCTGGAAGCTGAAATGAGTGGCTAAAATATGTGCCAATTAGTGGTTACGTAAGTGTTACTCCCTGTCCTTTTTCCCTCTCTACCATGTATAATAAAAGCATTTCTCAGTGGATATGGTCTATAGTTAGCTTAGCATTTGTCTTTTTCCTGATCATTTCCTCCACCAAAAATATAAATCTAGCTGAAGACTCAGACTCATATGGACAAATCCAGGTAAAAATCAAAGCTTTTCAAGGAAGCAATAAACTTATACACTCAGATCAGCTGCAAGGAAAATGGAATAAATTGAGAAAAGAATTTCACTTATAAATAATCTTGATACCGAATCAGGGTATTGAGCACAGACTTGGGACAAAGAGAAACAGTCAACCCTTTACCTTTGCTCTCCATGAAAACAGTGGAGGCAGAAATCAGTCTATTGCTTCGGACTTCTGACTTGCATCTTCAGATAAAGGAACTGTCTTTATTGCAGTCTGTAATTCTCAGCAATAGCATTAACAACTGTGGTCCCGTCAATAGGCATTGGATAACTCAGCACTGAAGCTGGCTCTCACTAGCCTGGGAGACCTGGCAGATGTTATGTGTTTTATAAAGGCTGCGTTTTAGTGATGGATATCTGTGTTTTTAGTGTTGGCAGCACAAAACATCTGAAGTCACTCAGATAACTGTTTGTTTCCTCTCAGGTTATAGTTCCTGGACACGATCCACATCTCACAAAGGTGACTATTCCCTCAAAATCCCAGAACTTCAGTGCTCTTAAAAAGGATATTTTACTTCCATTCAGAGAGCAGTTGGATCATATCCCAGAATCACATCTTTCATGTCCCATGATTCCTCTTTATAAAGATTTGCAAGGCCACTCAGCTGCAACAAAGCCCAGTCTGTTCTTATTTTTAGTGACTCTTTTTCACATCTTGTTCAAATAAAGCAAAATGTGAAACTCAACCCCCATCACCACCTGGAATCAGGGATTACTCATGCCAGGTTACTGCAACTCTAACTCCCTCTGTGGGACCCTGACTGGATAAATGCCACGGTCCTTCCCTGAAAAGAGGTTCCAGATCCTGCAACAAGCAATGAATGGTAATAATGAAAGGAATGATTTAGTCTTAATGATGGAAGACACCTAGCCATCGAGTACTGCCCACTTACGCTTAATCTTGAAGTAGTCTTAGAAATTTCTAAGAAGTTAAACTTGAGAAGAAAAAAGTTCCTGCAAGAAAAATAGGAGCTAATTTTGTATACAGAGCCAAATGAATATAAGCAATGAAGATGAACATTTGTTGACTACCTACTATATACATGATCTTGCCACGTGTGCTGTATGTGAAGAGAGTGCCATATGTATAATTTTCAGCACAAGAAGAAATGATGACAGGACTGAGAATATTAAGTTTTGCCAATGTTCTAAGAAAATACAAGAAAAAATAGGCAACCATGTCTTGGTGGCCCAAGAAATATGGGATGACAAATTTGTCTACAGAGCCCCCAAATAATAGTTCAGTTAAGTAAGGGCCCCTGCCTTTCTGCAGCCGGATGCCACAGTCCTTTGTTATGCTGAAGATCCCTAAATGCCTGAGCTTCAGACTCAGGTCTGATTGCCCACTGGATGCATCTACCTGGATCTGACTTACAGATACCTCCACCTCATCATGTTGAATATTGAACATACTGTTCTCCCCAGAGCTGCTCTTCCTCCTGCATTCTCTGAGTTGCTGACAGCACCAAACTAGAAACCTGGGAGTCACCCGTGACACTTCCTCTTCCTCCTCCATCCCATATATTCAATCAGTCACTAAAGATTGTTATCTGTGTCAACTGATTCTACCCTTTCTTCATGGCTGCTAACAACTGCCAGGTTTAGGCTGTCATAGCTTACCTGCAACCATGGCAACAGCTTTCTTGGTCTCTTGCTCCCAGCCTTCCCCTCTTCAGATCCATCCTCCTCACAGCACTGGAGAAAGGAGTCTATTTAAAACAAAAATCAACTATCAACTGCTTGTAATTCCTACACACATAACAGGCTGTGTGTGTCTGGAATGCCATTCTGACCAACTACCTTTTCTTTCCCACTCCTTTGAAACTTGGTTAAGGTATCAACTCCTCTGGGAGACCTTTGCTGACCATTGTCCCATTCCACCCAGTTTCATCTCCTCCTGTCAATCTGGGGGCCCCACCTCTTTGCTTCCCCAATTAAACAGGTTACCTCTATTATGGGATTTACAACACTGTATTATGATCTTCTACTTCCATGTGTGATTTTTTCTCTAGTAGAGTGTGAGGTCTTTGAGGCCAGGGTCTGTTTAATTTGTTTGAAAAACTTACTTTTTTTAATCCTCAGATCCTAGCACATGGTGGGACCTGAATGAATGAACAAAGGTTTCTAGCAACTTGCTACTGTTAAAACATTGTAAGAATTGGGGGGGGGGCATTAAACAAAAAAATAGCAACTGGGGTAAGTAGATTTCTGAATGCTGTGTACTGCTCATAGAAAGTGAGTTGCTTTGGCTCTTATTTTAAATTGAAAGTTCTATGGGATCTGGAAACAAAAACTATACTGGGCTTGGTACATGCTTGGGAACCACATCTGAAAAAGAGATACATGGGCATTTAGGAGCTATTCCTGTGCCAGGTTTATTCTACATGCATAAAATCACACATGTTAATACAAGCAAAATTTGTTAACTTCTTTTAAATCTGGTAATAACCTGAATATCTTGATCATTTTTATTTAAATAAGCAGTAGTTTATTATACACTGGAAAGTATACATTAATATAATATTGCAGAAAACTATTTTGGTATATTACATGTAAAAGTACCTAAAACTCAACTTGATATACCATCAAGTCCTAAACAATTTTCTATCCAGTATTCTAACTTTTCCTTTTCTAAGACAGCAATTTTTGAAGGGAAATGAACCAAAATCTGATTTGGTTCATGAGCCTTAATGTAAATTTCTTAAGAGAATGTTTTTAAAGTCAGAAATTTTTATCAGAATCAAACTTAAAACCATTTAGAGGTAAGCAGAACAATTTAGAGTAATTTCCAAACCAAATATAAACCAAATCTGAATTTAGTTCAGAGCAGGTTTGGGGTACCTATTTTGCAGCAACAGCTCTGTGCTTGGAAATGAAGTCTGTTACAAGGATTTAGTGCGGTAGAATCCCAGCTACACCCTCCACTAATCAAGTGAAGTGCTCAAGAGGAGAAACCATCATGGAATGCTCACTACAGTGAGACTAGATCCCCACATCTCCCTGCATAACACCTTTCCTCCTGTTCTCCACCCCCTTGAGCTGGTGGTTATGCTCCTCGGGTTCTAAGTTCAGGTATAGTTCCTTTTATAAAGAAACCAACGTGGTAAATGTTTTCAAGATAGGAGAAAAGAAGGTAGCATATGTAATAAAATGATAATTAGAAGGCAGGAGGAGCCTTGTGATCAAACACACCCCACATTCAGTTACCTTACCTATAAAATGAAGGCCTCTGCTTGGCTAACTCTGTGACTGTCAGAAGCAGTGGTGTAAGATGCCACACACTGGTGCCAGGTTTGGTGCTTGCCCAGGTGGAGCAAGAATAACACTGAAGGGGCATAAATATTTTGAAGGCAGTATAATATAACTTACTAGAGACCAATAAACAGAATTGGCCTAAAAACTGAAAACACTGGCTAGCTAAAATGACCATTTAATAACATTTAAGGAAACATTGATGAAGTAACACAGCTTTTTCTCTTGTACCTCCTCAAATTATAATAAATGTTAACATGAATGAATTTAAATGGTGGGGAGTATTTTAGAGAAATGTTGAGTCCCTGCAGATAAATGTCAATGTCAATTTTGGTGCTTAATTTATCGCTGACTTGAGCTGTTGGATGTTATCAGAAATGTTATAAAGCCTCTTCTCAGTATTTCTACAAGTCTAAGAAATCAACATTTCCATTCCAGAAGCAAATTTGCATTTGTAATGTTTCTTAAAATGGTAGGAGAGGTTAACTCTACCTTTAGAAGGTAAAAATATCTGGCACGATTAGAAATATCTTTTCCCAGGGAATTCAGAAAAATGAGCATAGCATATTGTCTCACCACAACAGGGTAAGTTTCTGATTGAAAAATTTGGTTCTTATTCCACATGGTGACAACAGTTGATGCCTGTTTTATGACAGATTTAGAATGAGGTTAGGGGAACAATGATGACGGTTAAAGAGGGGGAAAAAAAGTTGACAGCACGTAAAGTAGAAGTTTGAAGAGAAGAGTCTAACTTCGTTATAGTATGTACCACTGATAAAGCAAATATTGTACTGTATTGCTCACAAACCATTTTACCATATTGTAGCATGTGAACTACTCCACAGCCTGATAGATGTTGCATAAGCTGATTTTACAAGTTTTCTCAGTGACTCTTGTACTATAATTAAGAACTTAAAATGCACGAATTGTCTAAGACTATAAAGTTTTATTGGGTAGGGGCCATGACTACCTCTGAATTCAGTAAAGTGAGAATATTTCTGATTCTCAATAAAGAATATTCATATGAACAATGAATGTTGTTTCTTTCCATTACATTACCTTGAAAACAAATACTTATGCCAGTATACAAAGTTCACATACCAGAGAGAGCTGATAAGCAAATAAAGCCTGGGAAAGACCGAATCTAATGACCTTTTATGAGGCAATAATATTGCAATAACTCTTCAAAGCTCAAGTAGTCCTTCCAGAACAGTTTATATGATATACTATATACCCATTCAAATTAACTTGTGTCACTGGGCAGATGATAGGTGAAAAGTGTGCCTACTGGTGCAAAAAAAAAAAAATACACACACACACACAATCACGCAACCCCTCCCCACACAAAACCTTTGGAAAATTCCCAGGGCACAGTGATGTAGTAAAGGATATCTGAAAAATAATGCAGGAAAGAAGTGGATTTCCCAAACAGACTTAGCCATGGAATCATTTTCTTAAATACTTAAGCCTTGTACCATCGCTCTGAACTTACGTATCTAGATTTCTAAACACATTTTGGGAAATGCTGATATATAGAGGGTCTTTTGTCCTGAATGTTTTACTGATTTCAACGTGCTTTTGAAGGACAGAACAAAAAAGGATTTGCCTCCTCTAGGAACTGGAAAACTAACAGTCTTTCCTAGCCCTCATCACTGCAACCTCTGTTAATACTGAACATCTAGTCGTAGGACAGAGAGGCTGGGCTAATTAATGTATGGCTGCCCCGAAACACGCTAAATACTTCAAATGAGACAAGACTGAGTAGGAAATGACTAATTTACAGGTACCGATTTCTAAAAAGTGACAAATATTTCAGTTAAGAAAATAAATTGGGGAGAGTTTTTCTATTTTCAGAAGAGAATTCATTATATAGGAACACTTTTAGCAAGAGTTTCTGGTATATTTTAGCTAGACTTTGATACTTAAATTTGCAGCTCCTTATAGCATTCATTGCTCCCCACCCTGCCCTCCAAAGCAAGGTACAATTTTTAAATGAACTAACATTTAAAATATTAGACATAGTGAAAAAAAGAAAAATTGTAAGAGAGATTAGTTCATTTTGGGGATGGTAAGATGTTTTTGTTTTTCCTACTTCATTTTTGAAATTTTCTATTTACTACTTTTATAATGAAAGAACTGATTTAAAGAATGGAACCTCAGATTTTAGAAGCACCAGTTTACACAATTGCTATACTTTCTTACATATTCATTAAAATTTCCAGAGCTTATACTAAAATAACAGCTGATTAACAGTCAGTTAATTAAAACATTTTTTCCCTGATTCTGGACAGATTCTTAAACACTAAAGCACAGTATTCGTCTCATGAAGCTCTGAAGGGTGAATGTGAAGCTCGTGTTTCCTTTAACAATTGAAATAGAACTCCTGTTATTTGCTTTCTAGTCTAACCATCCATCTTCTGGGAGTAGTCTGTACATACTGTTATGAGTCTACCTACCGTTAGTGGATGCCTTCAGAGGACTCCCAATGTGGTGCTTCCACCTGGTGGTTAAAGAAGTGCTTAACTACAGAGATTTGGTCTTCTCAACATGCCTCTTAAAAAAACAAAATAAATGATTGTGAGAAAAGGTTAAAAAAAGTATTTTTTATACAGAGGGATGTTCTGTTTTTTTTTAAGAAAAGCTTTCCCAATTCTGTTACAGTTTTGAAACCGTACCAACTTTTAAAGACCACTGTTTCCTTAGAATGTTTCTCGTTTGCCATTTAAGTAATTTATTGTATGGACAGTATTTTTTCAGGATGATCCTTACAACTGTCTTTTCCTCTTGTAAGTTAGAACTGCACAGCTGATTTCCTTGCCAATCAGCATCCTTTATTGTATGCCTACTGTGCACACAATGTATAGTATGAGGCACCTGGGGGAAGAAGGCAACACAAAAGGATGTTACAATCTTCTGTGAAGATACAAAGCAGCATGGCAGTGAATGTAAGTGTGAACAGAGCACTCAGAGTTGAGACAATACAGGAAAGAAAAAAAAAGGAGGGGGTGGTGAATTTAAGTCTAGCTAAGCTGGGTTTTGGAAGTGGTTATGGTCATGAATGGATGGGAGAAGGGTATTATTAAACAACTGCCATTTAATAGAAATCCTTCCCATCCACCAGACTCCATCCCAGGCTCTATTCATTTATTGTTTCTAATTCTAAGGTGACTAAGAAAGGAGTACCAGATCTGCTATTTGAATTTAGCGTGTCCTACTCTACTAGGATAAAAATAAAAAGAAGTCATGGGAGAATCAGGAGACAAATGACCTTTGTTGCAGCAAAAAGGATGAGAGCAGAGAGCGGTGAAAAGAAAGCCTATATTTGATAGCTCTAAAAGTCTAAAGTGATCAGGCAGAACATGTGAGATAATGTCTAAAAGCGATAAAATTACTGAAGCTTTTTTCCAATATTTAAATCAGGGAAGTGACATGAAGATACCTATAAGCTATCTATAAATGTACCCCCCCCAATAAAGGTAATGAAGTCAATTTAGGCAGATGTTACTGTGATCTTGGAGGAAGGCCTAGTACAGGGTGTAGCCTGGAAAGGTGTGAACCAAAAATAAACACATAAAAATACTAAAATTTAACTGCGAAACAAATGAAATTAACCTAACATGACAGTAACCTAAATAAATAAATAAAAGTTGAAAAAGCTGCAATTTAAAAATTGTAATGTAAAAGGTATTTTGATAAGTTGACTAAGTTGTTGGCTGAACATATAAATAGTAGTATTCTCAAAGCAGAGCCATGGGACTGAAACAAGGATGAGTGGAAAATGTCTATCAATTTTTCAAAAATAGGAATCTTTAAAGGAGAGCTTTAAAAGTAATAAGCATTCAAGTATGTTTTTGGATCACCACTCTTCTAAAAACAATTATGATTCTCTTATCCAAAATATTATTCTAACATTTTAATACATAATTTCAAATGCGTTAAACCTACTAATAACTTACTGAACACATGGGGAGTCTCCCATCTGCTTGTCACTTCATGCTGCCCCCATTCCACTTTCTGTTGCTTTTTTGCTAGTTCCTGTTAACAGTTTATTTTACAATTTGTCATTGTATTCAACACTTCTGAGCACCTTCTAAATGTGCTGGTGATTTCAGGTATTTCTTTTTTAAGCAGTATTTGTAAATATCAAACACACACACACACACACAAACCCCCAAACAATTCCCTATCGTATATAATTGAAAGCTGGCTGTATGAGAGACAATATGGCCACAAACTTTTAAACAACTGGTACTTTTTTCAGCTTCTGAAGAAATAATTTTCTTTGTAAATACTAAATCAAAATCCAATTTAGAATCCAAACCACCAGAAAACGCCAACTATAAACTTTTCACAATACAATGCATGACAACTTGTAGTTACTGTCATGAGCCTATAGACCTATACACTAATCAGTACCTTTAAAACATTAATTAAAAATAAAAACCTAAACTAAATGATGCTGTGACTCATTCAAAAAATTCTTACTGAGCACCTATATATATATATTACAATCAAGAAGAGGTTC